AGATTCCAAGAAAAACCACTACAAAACACACTGTTCTTACAGTATTCTGAGTTAAGTTCTAGATCCTAAAATATAAACAACTTTAAGAAAGAAACGAATAATTTAACCTTTGCTAAAACATCAGTTGACAGATATTCAATGAGAATTTACTTTATTATGGTCAAATCTTATCGGATGTTTGTGTAAAGATGTTATATACTAAAATCATCATTCTGTGTCCCTAAGAGTATTTATGGGAAGAAGTTATTCCTCTAAATAAATCTCAGTGTTTTTAGGATATATCCCTAAGAGTATTTTAGGTTAAAAGAAATGTATGTAAATTAAACTCTTTCATAGTTTGTAATTCACATAATTGACTCTGTTAAATTGTGACCAGGTTCGGGTTCTTGCATTTACCCATCTTCCTCAGGGACAGGCACATCCGGGTAAGTAAAATGAAATGGATTCCTTAGCTACAGAAAATAGTTTCTTTACCACTAAGCCTACAAGATACTAATCATGGTCCTGTATAATGCCATCTTTTGCAGCTCTAATGGCTCACCTTCAGTTTTAGGATCCCAAAGCCCTCCTGATTTAAATACCTCAAATTCAGCTGGTCTGAGGCCTTCTATTAACTTTATGGTTCTGGTGGTATTATCCTTAGCCGGCATAAGACTCACTATATGAGTTTTCCTCAATACACATCGTATTGGAGTTACAATCAGTGTACAGCGCAAACAGCAGCATGACAGTAGAATGAATAGAAGAAGAGAGACTACATGAGGATGACAGGTTGTGGTCTGGTTCAGGTACAAGAGTAGTGCGTAATTTAGTATACATTGGTCAGAGTTTGTGTTGGAAATTCGTTTGCATATAAATGAGGGTTTGTTACTATTTTTCAAAACGATTCACCTGAATATGTCGAGTTAGAATCCAGGTTATTGAACTCATGGGAACAATGTCATGCTATGAAGGAGTCTATTACGAGAGCTTGTGGTGATGTAGAAGATTAATAAAGAGGTGTTACGTTTCATGGTAATCATTTCTGTAAAGCAGAGCAGCAATTATGATATTGGTAGATTGTGAAGGTTTTTTTGGGAAACCACTCTAAAGGGCACTGTAGATGATCATAGTCGACTTCTCATGATTGTATGTGGTAGAGCATGCATGCTTTACTGGTTTTGAATCATCATAAGCAATATTTGTCCATATTCAAAAAGCTCTTGTTCTTAAATGAGTTACTGTTTGTTAAGGTAATGGTTGTGCATTATTGTTGCAGTAGATGGATTTATCTAGTGTTAATCTATTGCAATTATAAAATCAATTTTTAATTAAATGATTCCGAACTGATGAACTAATAAAGACTGAACACAATGAGTCAAAGATGGGTTTAAAGCAGGTTAAAACAACATTCAAGATTTAAGGTATTTTTCACGGTATATGATTCACAAACATTGAATACCATCTCCCAAAAACTTGTTAAGTTGTGCCAAAATTAGAAGTCACGGTGATTGTGAATTTTATATGCAGAAATTTGACTAACTCAATCCCACTCTAACTTGATTCTGATACTATGTTAAAAAGTAGACTTTAAATTTAGGTTAAATATCTTCGGAGGTCCCTGTTTATTGGGCTTTTTCCAGTTAGATCTTCGTCTTATCGGTTTCGCCAATTTAGTCCTTAAAAATGAAAAATTGACTCAATTGGGCTCCTGCAGTTAAATTGGCTTAACAAGGTTAAATTTTTTATGACCTGACATGTTAACGTGGTAAGTTTTTTATACGTGGCACATTCAAGCAAGTTACATGGAATGTATAATTAAAAAATTAAAAAATAAAGTTTCTAATAATTGAAACACAAATTAGGGTTCATCGTCTTCAACCTTAGCGATTGATGCTTAGGGTTCATCACCAAATTAGGGTTTACTAAAATCAAATTGGGTTCGAGATTAAAGACGCAACAAATCACAGATTCATAGAGTTCAAGATTGGAGTGGAGTCCAATGTCTCCCCGGGCCTCTCCTTCGAGATTGGGGGTTTTCTCATGTTTCTGTTTGCGTGAGAGAGATAAACTCGCAATGGGTTTTTGTTTTTGTGTTTTATTATGTCTCTGGGTTTGTAGGTTGATGAATTTGTGAAGAAGGAGACTTACAGATATCTGATTTCCATCTTTTTAGTTTTCTTTGGACATTCTAATGCAGATATTTCTTTTTTATTATGTAAATTGATGGTTAATTTGCCAATGCTCCAAACAAAAAAAACTCTTAGAATCATTTTAGCGAAAGAAGATTTGGCAACCTTCAACTGCTTTCAATGCTTGCCAACCTTCTAGAAGAACGAACCTTGAATCCCTAATTCCTCATCTTTAGATTTAAAACGTTTCAAAATTCACCACCAAACCCTAATTTTAAAATGTTTAATGTTATCAAATTACACGTATAAAGCTCTGTGAATGTCACGTATAAGAAACTGACCACGTCAACGTCCCAGGTCATAAAAAAACTTAACTTCGTTAAGCCAATTTAACGGTAGAGGTCCAATTGAGTCAATTTTTCATTTTTAAGGACTAAATTGATGTAACACGGGATCTAGAAAAAACCCACATAAATAGGGACTTTCAAAGGGGTTTAACCTTAAATTTTACTCAACTCTACAAAATCAACTTGTAAAATAAGATTTACACTCACTTATATATTCTAAATTTCTAATCAATATGAGACTTCCAACATTATTGTTTGTCTTTGTTGTTCATCCTTTATTACCTATCTTTTTATTTCAAATTTGTATTTATAAATTTCAAACTTGTATTTATAAATTTTAGAATAGATTTCGAATTAATAACAGCTTCATTACAGTATGATTAATAATAATTATATTTTGTCATAAATTAATCAATATTAATACTAATTTCTCTACATGTTGATCATTCCATCGGTTGATCATAGTCGCACAATTGCATGAATGCTTTGTAATTATGTTCATTGAATGTTTGACCGCTTAGACTATCCCGTTCATAACTTATCAGACAGTAGTCTTAATCATGTTTCATCTTTTGATTCCTTACAAATTTCGGTTACAAGTGATGCTCAAATGTAACAACACCTCAATTCCTATTTAATTGAGTGGTCTTACTTATATAATCGTGCTTAATTTGGTGGAATGATAATTATATCGACTCTTTTTTTAAAGTAATTGTTTTTTAATCGGCAAGATTTGAATAAAAGAGGTGTTTAGTTTAATTTTCTGTAAAGCAGTTAAGGAATAGGTAGATTATGAAGTTTTTTTCGGAAACCACTCTAAAAGGCTTTCGGAATGGAACCGGTTTCACTATTTCATATTACTAAAAAATTCATCTTCATGTCTAAACTCAACTTAATATTAAATTTTTGTTTTATCTTCATCTTTATTGGATAATGAATATATATTTATATTCATATACATTTCAATATTAATTAATTAATTTTTGTAAAATAACAAAAGTTTTAAATATTCAATATCAAAATAAACATATTTTTTTAATATTAAATATTTAGAAAGTAATTATAATTATATACATTTTAAATTATATTATCATTTATTAAATTTGTAAACATTAATGAAGTCTGTTAATAAAATTTAAAATTATTTTAAAAAAATATAAAAGAAAAAAAAATATTCAAATTATTTCTTTTAAATGTCTCTATTTCCATCTTTTAAATTCTTATGAAACGTACTTTGTTATAAACTAATAAAAATTATAATACACTAATTAAACAAAATCACATGAAAAACAAAAATGAAAATAATGATAATTAAATTTGAACATAAATATTTCATCTTTTCAACTTTAATATACGTTGAAGATGATAAACAAATATTTATGAAAATTATATTATAATAATAATTTTGTTTAGATAACTATTGTGATAAAATTATAATTATAATAATGAGTTAGAAAATAAACATAATTATTTAAAAACGTTAAAATAATATACTACATGATAAAAATAAATAAATTAAAATGTTAAGAAAATATTTGTGTCTTATAAATAATTTGTAAACAATTGAAGAAAATGCATGAAAGAAAATAAATGAATAACTAAGAGTATGATAATTAAAAAAAAAGAAATAGATATTTTAAGTAAAAGATTGTTTGTTAATTATAATTTAAGAGATTTATTTTATTATATTATGATAAGAGATAAAATAGTTTATGAATTATTTAATTTAGAATATTTATTTTATTTTAAATAGATTATGATGATAGACAAAACAATTTGTTACAATATTTATTTTATTTAAAAATGTGAGATAAGATGGTTTATTTAAAAGATTTATTTAAAGTTTTTTTAACAAAGAAAAGGATAAAGCAATTTTGTTAAAAGATTTATTTCATTTAAATATTTCCTAAGACATAAAAGATTTAGCAATATTTTAAAAGGTTTAATACAATCAAAAAGATATTCTAACAAATAGGATTTTGTGAATAATATATGAATAAAAAATTATAGAAACATATTTTTTAAGAGATAAAATGATTATAGAAGTGGTATAAAGTGTATTAGATAATATATTTAAACTGTTTTTTCAGTTAATATGTTCTTAGAGTCTGACTTTGATATAAATAGGTAATTATAAACACTGAAATCCAAAAGGCTTGGAGTGAAAAGGAAAAGGTGGGTGAAGATGGAAGTAAAAAAGGGTGAGGAAAGAAAGGAAAGAGAGATGAAAGAGTCCACCAACATGACCTTATAATTATAATTTACTATACTTCATCGTTAGCATTGGGGTGGAATAAAACCTTACTTCCTACAACAACACAAAAATATACATTGCCCCACCCATCAAAAAGGAACTTAAAAACCATCTCCATGCCACGTCCTAAAACTTTATTCCCGCCAACCTAAACCACACATCTGGCCTCCACCTCACACCACCCCAATCACATAAACCGGGTTGCCCCGACCCACAACACCGATTTCATCCAAAAGGGGTAAATCTGTCAATTCATGTTACTTTTTTCTTTATTTCTCTCTCCCACCAACCATAAATCCCAAGAATCCTACCCTCACCCCCACCATCTTCTTCATCTAACTCCGTTTCTCCCGTCACTCACAAAAGGAAAGGTCGAAGACGCCGCAACTTACTAACTCTGTCAGTCAGAGTGTTCATCAGGAATTCGAAGATATTAGGGTATTGAAGAGATCGGCGTCATGGGCGGAGATGGAGCGACGGCCAACGCGGAGGCGCAGTACGCCTCTGCAAAGACATCGGTGTGGTGGGACATCGAAAACTGCCATGTGCCCAAGGGTTCGGATCCGCACGCGATCGCGCAGAACATCAGCTCCGCGCTGGTCCGCATGAATTACCGTGGCCCTGTCTCCATCTCCGCCTACGGAGACACCACGCGCATCCCACCCTCAGTACAACACGCGCTCTCCAGCACCGGAATTTCCCTCCACCACGTCCCTGCCGGTCGGTAACTATCCCACCTCTTCAAATTTCGCCTTTACTTGTTTTTAGTCTCTTATAATTAGAAGGTAAGTGCATGAAAGATTTCGTCTTAAAAATCTGATTCATTAATGATAAACCATATATATATATATATATATATATATATTAACTGACAAGAACATTTTCTTAATCTCTCACAACAACTTCTTTAGAAATTAAGTAACAAACTCAGTGGAATTAAACTGATTTATTCAAAACTAACAAACTCAAACCCCAGATTTTTAGTAACATGATGTAAAAACAGAGTATAATACTGCAAAAGGATCTCGGTAATCCACGCACGAAATCTCAGTAACATTTCCTTCTTTTACCCGCGCGGCTCATGGTTACGAGTTTACATGTTAGTTCTGAGTTCCGAGTATACCGGGGTTTGCGCAACACACCTTGTTAGTTCTGAGTTACTCGGAAGCATCGAGAAGTTCTTGTTGTATCTTGAAAACATTGGAGAAGAATTTGTTGTATCTCGGTAACGCTCTAGAAGTTCCTGTTGGATCCGGTAGCTTAAGCAACATAACGTGTTCTTAAGGGAAGTGATCATCCACTCCTTAGGAACCTATCTTGTTTTGTTCCTGTTCAGCCAGTATTTATGACATCTAGTAACAGCTAGAAACTTATTAAAACATATTAAATATACAACACATTTTGATGCTTGATTTATAACATCTAGTAACAGCTAGAAACTTATTAAAACATATTAAATATACAACACATTTTGATACTTGATTTATAACATCTAGTGACAGCTAGAAACTTATTAAAACATATTAAATATACAACACATTTTGATGCTCGATGTATAGTTATACACACTAGTGAAAACACTTGTGATGTATAATAACTTGGATGTTCTTTCTCCTCACTGTGATGCATCTGAAGGGACTGGCACAGATGGTTATTTGACTACCACAAGAAATTGTACTCGATTGTGACGAATTGTTGGTTCCGGTTTCGTAGTATTCCCCCATGTTACCAGAAATTACAGATAATTGTGGCCCATGCATGGCCACATTTACGAGTTTTCTGTTTTTTTATAAAGTCTATTGTGAATTTTTTTTGCTCTGTATGTACTATGAATCTCGAAACATCTATCTTTTTTATTTTTTTGAAAATTAACGTTGTAATGTTTGTTAATAGGCGTGAAAGACGCAAGTGACAAGAAGATTCTTGTTGACATGCTATTCTGGGCCGTGGATAATCCCGCACCCGCCAATTATTTATTAATTTCGGGTGACCGAGACTTCTCAAATGCTCTCCATCAACTTCGGATGAGGAGATATAATATTCTTCTTGCGCAACCTCAGAAGGCATCAGCACCCTTGGTTGCTGCTGCCAAGAGTGTATGGCTTTGGACTAGCCTCTTAGCTGGAGGACCTCCTCTGTCTAATGGTGAATCGCAACAACTTGGTAGTGGTAGCCTAAGCCATGTTTCATCTTCTGACTCCTTACAAGTTCCAGTTACAAGTACTGCTCAGATGCAGCAACAAGTAGAATCCTATTCAGAAGTTCATGCAGGAAATTCAAAATTTCCAAATGGAGGCAGGGGATTCGATACTAGGTTTCAGGGTAAACCTAATTGGAGAAGCCCGAGTCAATCAAATGCACCCAGAGCCGTGAATCCACCACCATCTGGACTTCAAGATAATCGTAATAATATAAACTCTTATCGACCTGGCAACTTTAATCCAAATGTTCCGTTGAGTGGATCTGCTACAAATTATGTTCATGGCAACACTGATCAGTTATGGAGCAGTAATAGTAATCTACAGGGCAATCATCAAGTTCCTTATTCCCAGCCATTAAGACCAAATAACTTCCCATTGCAGCCTCCTTTTGCGCCTAGTAATTCATATACTCCAAATCCCCATACTTTTGCACCTCCAATGGTGCCACCTAGAACTGGTGGTCCCAATTTCAACTCAGGGCCACAAACCAATGTGCCAGATATTGGTAATCTAAACATTTCGGGATATCCTAATAGTGTTCATAACCCACCTTCTATTCAACAACGGAATGGAGATTTGAAACAAAATCCTAATAGTAGTGCTCCACATGTTTTAAGATCAATTGATGAAAAAAATGGACATGTGGTACGTAACAGTGGCACACAACAATTACGCCAAGGTTATCAACATGGTCCAGAATATCAACCAATGCTACCGGCAGCAATGGGTAATAATAATCCTCCTGGTAGTGGTATGTGGGGTACTCCAGGATGTCCTAAGCCTTCTGAATATGTACAAGGCCTAATAGGGGTTGTTTTACTTGCCTTGAACTCACTGAAAAATGCAAAGATGATGCCAACTGAGGCAAATATAACTGATTGCATCCGTTTTGGAGATCCCAAGCACCGCAACACTGATGTTAAGAAGGCTCTTGAAAGTGCTATTGAGCAGAATATGGTTGTGAAACAGAATTTAGGTGCTTTGCCATTGTATGTTGGTAAGAATGATAAACTATGGAAATGCGTCAATCCTTTAGGTGGTAATCCTAAGCAGCGCTCAAAAGAAACATGGGATCAAATTGAAAAGTTTTTAACAACTCCTGCTGGAAGATCAGCAATAATGGCTACTCTGTGCAAGTAAGCATATTGTGATGTCTCAAAAGCTTGTAAGTTGATTATTATCTTTTCGAGCTTGTCTTAATCATCTTATATGTCTTTGTTTCCATTTATAGGTACGAAGCAGGTATTGTGATTAAGAATATGTGCTTCAAAGATCTTGCTTTGGGTGATGTCCTTCAGATATTGAACATGTTAATTACCCATAAAAAATGGATTGCACATCATCCGTCTGGTTGGCAACCACTTAGCATTGCTCTACCTGAGACAAACCCTGATTCAGGGGTTGTGGCTAGAGTATAACCACATTCTGATTATGGTAATGGAAAGGCACCCAGAGAAAACTCAATGAATATAGTACAAGTCAGTGCTCTAGGAATTTTGATGGCATAATCCTTTCTTTCCCTCTGAATCAAAAAGGTAGGTAGTAATGGTGAACTGAAATACAAAAAGCATCTTCAGTGTTGTTTATGGTTATTGTTAAAGCCTTTAGCTGGTCTTTAAGGTGAAATGAAAGCAGCTTTGGACAATAATTGAAATATACCAAACACTTAAGTTTGGTCTGGTTGTTGAGGTTTCTACGATGGCCTGCTATGCATCGCAATGGATCTATCTTGGAATTAGTGCGACTTCTTTTGTCATGAGCTTCGACGCAACTTTTATCTTCCTACAGATTATTATATTTTGCCTGGAGTTTGCCTTATTTGGCTGAACTCTTCGGATCGTTTTATTGATATATTTTAAGTAGTTTCCGGGATGCTGACCAAGTATCTGTCTTGCACTTCTGCTGGATATTGATGGACCTCTGATCTAGTTAGGTAAACCATCCTCAATACTCTCTTTATCACTTGGAAAGTGATCTATCTACTCAATCAAATTCTTCAGGGTGAACTGTGGAATGCAAGTCCTGAAGCTGTTGTATTGCCTTATTTTGTTCGTTGGTAGTTGCCTGTCTTCTAAATGCTGCAGGAAGTTAAACCACTGTACAGAGAACACTTAATTTGCACAAAATTCAAGGTGACCGCACTCTTAAAATTCTGCATGAAGCTCTTGATTTGTTATCTCAACACCAATACTCAATATGTTTATGATCTGGGAATTTGACTATGAAAATCACGTTACGGAGTACTAAAAATGATTCAAAGATGGTGAAATCAAATGGTAGGGCTTCCTGATGGTGCCTACAGAGTTGTGATATTAACTATACATATGCAGTTAGCTTCTGGATACCTGGCTTAGTGCGCTGAATTGGGTAATGTAGTGGGGGAATTAATCTGGTCTTGCCGCTTCCTATACCTTTTCATGTTATCGGAATTTAAATTTCCAATGTATCATATTGTTTAATCATATGCCTTCAGCTTTGAGTTATATTTTGACTTCTGTTTGTTGAAGATGATCTGGGTGGATGTCCTTATGAATGGAACAGAGTTCAATTTGTGGTTAATCTGATTATACTTTCTTAATCTTTGGAATAGTGTGATTGATGGCCACTGGTGTTGGCTCAGACCGCTTCACATGTGTATATAATAAACAAAGATTTGGATTTGGTGCAGCCAGCAAGCAATGTACCGTTTTATTTTCTTTTAATTCTTGGCTTTTAGATTTCATGTGTGGGTCATTCTGAGAAATTGAATGGACTCGTTAACTGCACTCTGTCAAAATACCACAAATCCTCTAATTAGTGATGCTCCACCTATACTTAAATTCAATCAGAAGTTTGATTTGGCTTGGTTCGATAAATCTTATAAATTAGAAGGGCGTTCGTTATGTTAAGATTTCTTAATTTAAATAAAGATTTGGTTTGATTCAATAAACCTCACTTCGATTTTTTAAAAGTTTTGTAGAACCGAAAGAAAATTTATCCAATTTTACCCCAAAATGTTAAGGGATCGTAAGACGTAAGTATTTATTTATAAGGAAAAACATTAAATGGGTTATTGCCCCATCAAACGTGATATTTAGTAGATTTTTTTTTATATGTGTGGTCCACTTAGTATTTTAAAGTTGTCATTAACGACTTATTTCTGAAGTTATAGACAATTAACGACGAATTTATGAAGTCAGACAACTAATGATTAATTTATGCTCTAAATGTAGTTTTTCTAATAAGTATGATTTTAATTGTGTAGGAATTGGGATTATCGTCACTAAGGTCCAGCTCTATTACAGGAAAGGTTTTACAATTATTAAGTCAATGGTATTCTAAAGCAAAATCATTATTAAAAAAACGGTTTTATGTTATTATTGCGTATTTTAAATTTATACTTGCACCTACATCTACGATTGTATTTTTTCAATCGTTTTTCATAAAAATAAGGACACGTTTGTCCAAGAATTAATTTTGCTATTTCTTACCTTTAAAAATACGTGCAAATTTTAAAATAACTTCTGCAGATATCTTAAGATATGTATATATAATTTCTCTCCTATTAAAATTACCTAAGAAATCAGTCAAGAATAAATATATTTGATAAAAAGAAGCTAAACTATAATAAGTAAATGTAAGATGTTAAACATCAGGCATTCTATTTTGTTTTTAGGAGTTCTAGATTACTGTGTGTTTGTCCAGCTCAGAAAAATGTTTATATCTTTTACTAACAAATACTTAATTTTAGATATTTCATTTGTCCAATAAAATCATTTAGTAAAATTTTAATTTCACAATAAAAAGAGTAAGTATAACTGTTACTCCATATGTTATTACAATTTGTTTACCATACATAATTCATAATGTGACCATTTTATATATATTTTACCATTTTATTTGTATAAATTATTTAAATTTATTACATTATATAATATAGTTTTCATTAATAAATTAATTATTTAATATGTTAAAGTAATTAATTGTATTCGCAAAATTGACCTTAATAATTCTTAAATAAATTGTTTGAATCAGTTGCAGTGTAAGTGGATAATATGCACCATAACCAGAGCAACAAAATTATTTGTATGAGATCACCAACACAAACTCAATTCATAATGATGAAGGCTTCTGCTGTTCATCAGTATCATAATACATGAAACATGAATTCATTACATGTTAGAATAAAATAGCTACATACTCATGTGAGTTTTAGCCTATTTTTTACTCTTCCATTCTAAGTTCTCCACTGCAATCTCAAATCTCGTGTTTGACCTTTCTGAAGCAACATGCAAAGTATCCATGGATATATGGATGCTCAAATATAAGGAAAAAAAAAAGTCCACTGATATTTTTTTCAAACGGATATAGGTAGATCCAATTAAAGTTTAAATAATTAAAACCGTATCAGAATCTCAATTTAGATACCAATAACACAAGTAAATCTCACAAATCTCTCTCTCTCTCTCTCCCTATAAGAAAAAATAAAAACAGAAGCTATCTAAATGAAACCCAAAATCATTATTTTTCTTTGTACTAAATACCCTTTCTTAGTAGAAAAAATATTGATTTTTCCCTTCCAACACCATTTCCCTTCTAAAATTCAAATGTTTACTTTTCGTCCTTCTAAAAATTTTCATACGTATTATCGTTTATGATAGAGTTCATGAACTCTGTTAATAAAAAGAAAAAACTGACTTGACCCAAGTAAATTTGAGTAGCTTCCAGATATCCTTTGGTGTTATAACTTTTTCTCTATTTATAGTATGAGAAACATTGTCCGAATTTTTGTCGGTGGTGTTGAGAAAATGGAAACTGCTTCATCACAACGGGGAGAAAATCTCTAAGGGGAGGACCTGGTGCATCTTCATCAAGGAAGAGCAACAATATATTATGTGATTGTGAATAATGAATATAAAATATAGCAAAATACCATACTAATGGACACAACAAATAGCTAAATACCAATAGATCTCGTTTTATAAAGTAGAATGTAGAAAAACCAATACTTAATCTCATTTTTTTTTATTTTAATATTTTTTATTTTAATTATTCATCTAAAATTATAATTATATATTCACGAATTTCCTTCCCAAATTAGTTCACATGTACGATTTAAAACATTCTTTTCCATTTTTATTATTCTTTCATTTTTCTTTTCAATTAATTTCTTTCCAAACAGTAGATTTACTTGGACGATGCAATGATGTTAAAAATGAGCTCGGGAGAATTCAATGAAACTATATAATCACAGGAGCTTAACCTTTCACAGGGGACAGAAAACTGTTATATTACTTTTGGTACCAATACTTTGAAAAGGAAAACAGATTTTAAATATGATAATACTATTATAACCATTAATAAAGGTAAAATCGGGATACCATTTGGTGAAATTCAACAAATCATTCTTAGACATAAAGTGCATGTGTGATTACCCTCTGATAATGCTAGTATTATAAAATTTTAAAAGTCTAACAAAGAACTAGTTCAATTTACTTCCAATATACGGGCACCCACCTTTTGTGATGTGCAACCAAACACACCAAACGTCCCATGTTCTTATGCACATCATGTGAGCCCTGAAAATCACTATCACCTTTTTACAATCATCTGTTATTGCAATCTTAGAATCCGTTCCCTATAAACCATGAGATATAAGAAATCACCCCTACCAACTCTACCTACAGATGCCACACTCCAAATCATCGTAAATAAAATAACACGAACAGTCAGAATAAACCAACACCTAAAAGATTTAGTTCAAGGAGCCAATCAAATCTCCACCATCCACACAGAATCCGCCCCTACAGTTCATTAAACCATGTTCCCCCATATATGACTAGAAAAACACAACAGAATCCACAGAAACAGAGCACAGTGCTATCACCAAGCCAAACCCATCTTTAACATAAACCACTAATGTTTTAGCTGCAGGATAGATTCATGCCTAAAAGGGTGGGGATGATGACTGCTAATAGGGCTTTTTGTTGCAACAGGGAGTGTTTTACATGTGTATGACATTTTGGGATGGGAAACCTACACAAATGTGGTAGGAAGTTTTATGTCTAGGCAACTTTGGTACTTGGACATGTTTCTGGGAATAAACCTACACAAATGTAGTAATGGGAAAACTTTTAAAATGAAAATGTCATAATATTCAATGGGCGGATATGATTGATAAGAAATCGACCAACTAAGATCTTTCCTGAGAACTAAACATCTTTAAAGGTACTTGAAAATTAAACTATAAGAACAATTAAAGAATTAAAAATTAACCGTACAAGGGTGGTAAATATCGTACTCTCTTGATGAAAAGATTTGTATTAAAAATGTGTGTATGTGTGTGTAAGCGTATTATAATTATTTTCACTTCATTACTTGCACATTTCTTTGGAAGCCAGAAACTAAGTAAAAGCAGTGCAAGATGAATCCTAAAATATCAAACTTAAAGATTATGGAAAAGTTTTATATAGACTCAGGAAGTTTCTTAAATCTTCACAGGATCATGATTATACACAAGGATATTTCCATCGATATCGACATTGAAGCTACTCCTAAGGAATTTTTCACAGCAAAGCTAAAATGAGCAATTACTGTAGCTTCTTAGCAAAACCTGCAGTCTGTGGTACCGAAACCATCACAACTAGTCAAGCTTGCAAGCAGCTTTTATTCGTCAGAAAGACAACAGTGACACCTCTCAACTGCAAATAAAGAACATCACTCCAATAAGAGTAATACCAAATATAACACAACCATAAAAAAACAAACAAAACAATTAAAACAACTAACTAAATTTCTTTGGTTAAACATAAAATGGACTCTTAGCAGTTGCAAAAGCATGTTTTGCCTCAATAACTTTAATAATGTTCTAAAGCCAAAATATACGTTTTAACTTACTAATGGTACCAACAAAAATGAGCACTTGCCGTTACCGAGATTAAAAGTACATAATATATGATATAACAGAGTGGCAACTTTTTTCAGTAATGCTTTATGATTTATTAAGGAAATATTAATTTACCCTTTGATGATTTGAATAAGATGTTGAAATTTTCCAATATTTGTGTAAATCAATGTGAATCAATGATGTTTTCAATCCGGTTATACCAGCACCGCTACTCCTCCAACAAATAAACTATAAACTATAAAGGAACAAACCGCAGTGATGCTGCAATTCTGTAGAAACAAAACTTTTAGACGAGTGGAATAACATTTGCAGTGGATTTCAGTGTCTGCCAGTGTTAACTTCTTGTAATTGTATTTACAATAACATTTTCAAAGGAAGTGGCACCACATTAGGCCACAATCACCAGCTTTACTAGAGTCACATCCAATTGCAAAGTCTGACATTCACACATTTATTGTTAAAAAATGAAGTGCCATTCAAAGGAGGTTAGACCAAACCTCTTCAACCCGAAAGATCAGCACACGTGAACCCATTTTGCATAAGTTGGTTAATCGCATCTCTGAACTTGTAATAGTCATCAACTTTGTTATACACTTGATGAGAAATTCTGGCATACCCAGTAATCACCCCAACTTCCCCCTCTCTTGGGGGCCGATAATATAGCGGAACCTCAACTCCAAAAGCATCCCTCAAATGTGTTCTCAACTCGAGAGCATCAGAATCACTTCCAATCCCCAAACAAACAGGCAAACCAACCATAACCATGCTAGCACACATATGCGCCGGACTCCCGAGCCGAGTACCCCATGCCTTTGCCAACATCTCCCCCATCTCCACAACAGCGTCGTGATTCCTCTTCTTGATCCCCTCAATACCCCCTTCAAACCGGTTAACAAACTCCATCGCAGCAGGAACAACCAACTGTGCACTATAATCCCTGGTCCCAATCCAAGCACTCTCCACAGCCAAGCCATTGCCATACTCATGAGACACCACAGGGTGATGTAAATCAGAACCAGAACCCTTAGGGTTCCTACGAGTATACAAAAACGCAATTGAAGGTGGACAAAAGAACCACTTATGCAAATTGCTAGTGTAAAAATCAGCACCAATTTCCTTCATGTCAACATCAGTGCATCCAATGGAATGAGCAGCGTCAACAAAAACCTGGTCCACCCCTTCCTCCCTGCAAATTTGAATCAACTCCTTGACAGGAATAACCACACACGGCATGGAAGTCACATGATCAATCACCGCTAATCTAACCCTATTTCCGTTACTTTTTCCTCTCTCCAAGGCCTTCCTAAACTCGGAAACGATCTCATCGTTGGAGTTAACAGGGAAAGGGAGGGGAACCTCGACAACATTGCCGCCGGCGCGAGTGACGTACGCTTCCATGGATTTCTTGACGGCACCGTAAGCGTAGTGAAGCATGAGGACGACATCACCTTTCTGGAATCTTCCTTCGCGGAAGTTCCATGCGGTGTGCTGGAGGACGATGGCGGCAGCGGTGGTGGCGTTGTCGACAATGGAGATCTCATCGACGTGGTCGGCGTTGACGAGGTCCTTGATTAGGGTTCGCGATTGGAGGATGCCGGTATTGAGGTCATTGAAGTAGAAGTGGTCGGGCTGGCGGAGGTACCGGAGCTGCCAGCGGTGCTGCGCGGCGATGATGGAGGCGGGGCAGCAACCGAAGCTGCCGTTATTGATGCGCGCGACGGAGGTATCGTGGTGGCCAAATTCGGTTTCGATTTCCGAGGCCGTTATAAAGGATGAGGAGAGTTTGGGTTTTTTGGCTATGCGAGAACCATTGTGGTGGTTGTTTTCGTGGATATGGTTATCGGTGGCGGAAGACATTGGGCTTGCGAATTACGAGAATCGAGAAAATGAAGAGAAGAGCAACGAGAATTTCACCATAAGAGAAGACAGGAGCGAGTGAGTGAGTGAGTGAAAGAGAGAGAAAAAGAGGGAAAGAAAGGTACATTATGGATGAGGCGAACAATGACAAGTGGCTAACCCTGTTTACCTCTCTTCTTCTTCCATTTAACTATCACATTAATTAATTCATTTTTCATAAATGTACTTACTGTAGTTCTCACTACCATTTACAGGAATCACTTTATGATATAGCTAGAAATTGAAAATTACATGAAAAACTGTCTCTGCAAAGAAAGTTTATAAAAATAAAGAGGGAAGTTTTAATACGGCAAGAAACACCAGATAACTTTACCAATGGCCTTAGTTTGTCCTTAGCCAAAAAACTGCAAGAATATATAGAAATCACTTCGTTTGGCTTCAATTAGTCGCAAGAGTTTTACCATTATAGCTTTTACTTGTATGAATAGTTTTGCCTATAACTTCATCAAGTCATTGGAGTTTTTAATGTATGGTTTCTGTCCTTCAACAACAACCTCTCTTATTTCAATAATCACAAATAGATAAGAGTGTCAATGTGACATGCATGCTTTAAAACATTTTTTTTCAATATAAATCTATCCATGCATGCACATTGATTCTGTCTTTTTTTGTTATTCGAGTAGAGTAACTCGATTAGATTAGGATAATAGTTTTTTTATATTTGAATTCGTAATTCTTTTTATCTAACTTATCGATGTGACATGGTATATTTTAATTGCGGTTTATATATTTTCATTTATTCATAATTTTTAGAATTTTCAAAATAAATTTTATCCTTGGGATAAAAGAAATTTACCCAAATAAACTTCTTATAGATCACGTTAATTAAATTTAGGTTTGATAAAAAAAAATGCTCAAAATTTGCAAAATTGATGTCTAAGTATCATAGTTTTGTTGTTTTTTTAATCTCTGTTTCAATCATTGCAAGTGACGACAAATACGAAATGGTGGTTTCGGCAAACACATGAGACGTTGATTTCTGAAAAAAAAAAAAAAAGTCGCCGACGCTGCCTTTAATATGCTGCCCACTAATCAAATTCTTTCATATATCCTTTTCTTTTTATCATTTCCATTATATTATTATATAAAACATGGAAATAAAATTGATAATAAAAATAGTAATAATAATTAGAATTTAATTTTAAATTAAATAATTTAAAAAAATTATTTCCACTTTTCTTTTAGTAAAAAAAATTATTTCCACTATATTTTAACATAATTATCATATTTTCTTTTCACACTTTTTTTTTTCACTCTATTGAACACATTTTCAAATTTATTTAGTGTTTCTAAATAAATTAGAAAAGAGGAACAAACTCAAAGACTTAAATAATCAGTACAAAACATAATTCAGTTTATTTCATTTTCAAATTGTGAATTGATTCCCATTAATCATTTAACCATTGACAAAGAAAAGAAAGAAAAGAAGAAACAAACTTAAAAAATTAAGATAAAAGAGAGAATAATATAAATAGGCAATTATAAAATTGCAAAACTAAAATGTTTTTGTATATATATTTATAAAATCATTTAGACTATATATAGGTTTTAAATTTGGGGCGCTTCCTCGTGCATCTCCATAGGTCAGGTAACAAGATAATTTTATCCTCATATTTTCCCCGCCATCTTATTTCTCCATGCTCACCCTATCTTCTTCTTCTTCTTCCCTGCACCATAGACGTCGATGGGACAAAGTTTTGACCAAATGTTGCAGCACTCTAACCACATTTATTTGGAGAAAAGCTAGATGGCACCAAATCAGGAACACCAAAAAAAAATTGAGCATCAAATGAATCTTAAATGGGATAGGATAGAAGGAGTTCTAGTTGCATATCTCAAAGCCAACAATGGACTCAAATCACTTTAGTGCAATTAGTCTCATCCCAACGGGCTAGTACCCGTTTAAGTTTGACCCAATATTAATTTATCAAAAATAAACTGACTTGGATTGATCTATCAATGAAAAATGAGTTAAATTTTACAATTCAGTATTATATCAAATTTTCACTAAACTGTATGAGATATTAGCTAAATTATATTAAATTTTAGTCAAACTATATTAAACTTTGATGAAACTATATCAAACTTTGATAAAACTATATTAGATGTTAGTCGGATTGTCAAACTGTGTTAATATAAAGTGTCCTAACGCGAGTTTCATCTTTTTTTAGTGAAACTAGACTGTCGAACTAATTCAACATAACTTGAGGACTAATCTGTTAGTCTAGCATGACAGACCGAATTGATCTGAGCTCTCAAATTAATAATTTTGTCCCAACTTATCTTTTTTAATTAGACTGATGGATTGATTTGTTATACTCGTTGTATTTGTCATCTCTACTACAGTTAGATATATATTATTTTGTATTATAGATAAGATTTGAAATGATTTTTCATTTTTATATTATGAATTGTAAAATATAAAATCTAAAATTATTTGAAAGAGATTTTTTATTGTACAATCTATAATGAAAATTAAAAAATATATTTTAAATTATTTAAATTTAAATATAATATTTATATTCTGAAATGTATAATTTAAAATGTATATTTTATTTTATATTCTGAATTAGATAATTGAAAATATTAAATTTATATTATAAAATTTCAAATATATAGGATGCAGGAAAAAAAAACTATGAAGTACATGGACAAACTCTCTGAAATTTGATGAATCCACAAACCCAATTATAACAAGGCTAAACTAAAATAGGAAAAATTGAATTCACATAATTTTTAAAAACAAAAACAAATAAACTCAACTTCAAAAAAAGTTATGAAAAAAACAACATAATACTCTAATTCAATGAACATATTTTCAATTTAACGTCCTAAAAATACAAAATCTCATATAGTTAAGATCAATGGGAAATAATACCTATATAAAATTTTATGAGCAAAACAATAAATACATGCCGAATTATTTAAAAAATAAAAAAATTAAAATAAATACATACATTTAACCTAATTTATTACTACTAAAAAAATATTTTATTACTATTACAAAAAGTTAAAAACTAAAAATAATATAAAAAATTTACTATATAAAAAATTTTTAAATATACAAAACATATACCGTATATATCATCAAATACCAACATTTTATATGTTGCACATAAATTTATGCTGAACCTTTTAGCCTCCACTGCTGATGGCCATGATTATAAAAGTAGACAAATATAGAAAGTATTATAGAAAGTATTGAATTTGTGACTTTCAAATACGACTTATTCATTGTTCTGATTTTATTAAATTTATCCTTTATACCTTACAAATTTTAATTGACAATAGTGAGTTCTATTCACAATTTTTTTAAACATGAAAGTTTACTTTATGCACTGAAAATAAGAGCGGTACATTAAGATAAAAATTCAATGCTTAGTAGTACTTTTAATTTGTAAAGGGACTCTCAAAATAGAAGAGTAGGAGCAAAAAAGAAAAGAAAAATGACATCATAAAACTTGGCTCCAAGAATGGCATTAAAAAATGAAAAATACATGAACGAAAATCTTATACAAAATATTTATGATAAAAATAATACTGTTTAACTTAATCTAACAAATGAAAATAAAAATTAATGTAAACCACCAACTAATTTTCCATGACGATAATAAAATGATGTTATCAGCAATTTGGTGACATGATCAGGTATGTAAAGTTAAAATTTAAAACCCATTAAATTATTAAGCAAAGAGACAAAAAAGTATCCAATAATACATATTAAGTACGACACAAACAAGTGCAAAATTCAGATGACAAATAATTTTTCAAATATTTGATGACTTTGTGTGACTAAATTCATGGAAAGACAGAAAACAGAAACAAACATAGCAGTGTGTGGAGTTACGAAAACAGAAGCAATACAAATATAACATTACCTAACTTCCCGTGATGTGGTGTCTTACGTTAAGTTCACATCATGGTTTTATTGCAAATTGCGATGACAAACATGTATACAAACAAAACATAGCAATGTTCGTGCTGTGTCTCAATTTAATTGTATTACATCGTTGTAATACTTCTGAGTGATTAATGGGAAAACAAAAACAAACCATGTTCAAAGTAAGTGCATAGAATCAAGTGCATCAGTACAAAAACTTGTTTGGGTTTTATGGATTGGGTTTTTGAACGAAAAGCCCATCAAGATGCCCAATAAATAATACAGTCAATGATTGGTAGGTATAATTTATTTTGGCCATGACGATTACAAGGAACACAAGCGAACCACTCAATGTTCTGCTTTTGGATTCAAAATAAAAGACTTATTTTTGGATCATGGAAGGACAAAATCACTTTCTGACGAAATAGAAGGCAAACCAACAAAAAAGAAAATCATGCCATAATGTGAAACTTCTACGAAATTTCCTTACAAAAAAATATGTCACGATGATAACTATTTTTATAATTTATTTTTAACTACTTTATTACATTTGCTCTTCTTGACATATAGTTTCTTTTTCTAAAAAGATTTTTTATATGTTAGCAAATAGTTATATTTTGACATAGAGTTATACTTTTTATTTTTAAAAGATATTTTAAATGTGATATAAAATACTTTTGAAAAGTAAAAGATGAATAGAGCTAAGTAATTTTATGTGATTATCTAATATATTTTTCATCAAAATGAGAAGTGATAGGAGATGCTATAAAAGGGCACATTATTCGAATATTAAAAACATGCATGCGTATTTTAATATATCATTGACATTTTTTTATCAATATTTTTCTTTTTGCGTACCTTGATTGTCAATTTTCTAAACCCTCACACCAACTTCTCCAACTGAATGGATATTTTTTAATCACATTAGTTGACCTAAATTATTTTGGCTCAAATTTATAATACAAAAATATACGGAAAACTTAGGTTGCGTAATGCATGAAAATATAAACTAAATTAGGAATAATGTTTCTTTGAGAAAATTAAATTTATATCCTTGGTTAGCTTAAACATTTAAGGAATATCTCAACATATCTTATTGATTCTTTGTGGAATGAAACACGACACCTACTCATGGAAAATCATAAATGTTATTGATTGTATGATTGTTATATCTATGTTTTTCTCCAATGAAGGGATAATTACGTTATAGTTATTTTT